TCCTTCCTTCCTTCCTTCCTTCCTTCCTTCCTTCCTTCCTTCCTTCCTTCCTTCCTTCCTTTCTTCCTGACAGGGTCTCAGCCCTGGCTGCACTCAAAACTCATTATCTAACTGTAAATGACTTTCAGTTCCTGATCTTCCTGCCTTCACTTCCCAAATGTTGGATTATAGACATGAGCCAACATGCTCAGCTCCTCTAGCTACCACTTGTCCACCAATTCATTTCACTGTTCAACACTTACACAACAATATTAACTAGCAGTGATGGGAGATATGTATGCTTGATTATTTCTCTTACAGAGAATTAACTTTGTCATGTACCTTAGCTAACAATTTGGATATTAAACTTCGGTTTGCCTTCATGTGTATTTGTGTGCCTGGACTAAGATGAGCATTGCTGTTACTCCTCAGCTATATACAAAGTTTTAGTTCCTTTCCTTCCAAATACTCTGTGGGTCTCACATAAAAGAACATCATCATCCACTCTCCCCCTCCAGAAACTGCTTCCAGAGGCCACAGCTGACAGCTCTTCTTTCTTTGCACTCCTACACACAAACCCTTTAGCCTCAAGCAAACTTTTTTCTGAAGTCATGGATAGATCCAAGAGAAAAATAGAAAGACTCCTCAATTGATAACATTCCACATTAGTGATATTTACTTTGCACTATTTCTATAAAGACATGCACTCAGGTTAAAGATACTGTTCGTACATAACTTTAAAACCCACAATTTCTACCACATCTCAGCGTCAGCTCCTTTCTACGTCTCTGAGAGGGATACAAACCAAAGAAAAATCAAAGAAACAATGCTTCGGTTTTCAGTTTGCTACTGCTCAGATCCTAAATATACAGGGGTTTCTCAGGAGTAATTCTTGCAAAATTCAATGAAGATGTAGTTTTTTTCACGCATCTCTCTGGATATGTAGCATGCATGCCTACAATAATTACAGTCTCTTCTCTTCAGTTACTTCTGACTCTAGCTTTTCAAATCTATGTACTTCTAGAGTTTCCAAACCAATCCCCATAGCTAACTCATCCTGACAGGAGAACAGGAAATTATTTTTCTTGGTAATTCTTCATTAGGAAATTTGTGAGAGCCTGTGTGACCCTGCTACCTATTCCTGGAGAGGTTTGCTTTGTTTGATCATGGCACTCAGGAAATTTATGTTTGTAAGAAATTATCAAACTTCCCTTACAATTTTTCCATTTCATTTATTTTTAGAGTGTGTGTGTGTGTATGTGTGTGTCTAAAGGTATATTCATACCTGTGTGGAAATGCTTGCACAGATCAATAGAATTACTCTGTACCTAGAGTTACAGTGGCTGTGAGCCACCCTGCAGGAATGCGGGGAATCACTGTGGTCCTCCCTCTGCAAGGGTACAAGCACTCTTATTTTCCAAGATACATCGCTAGACCCATAGTTTTTGTTTGTTTTTGCAAAGGTAGTTCTTATATGAGGTTTGAAAAGTTTATAGTTTTTAAACAATTTGAGTGTTTGCATTTAACTTAATTATCTGGATATATAAAGATATCATCTGAACTAAATAAGGTAATTTTTCTAAATATGAAGTTATTTCCTCTTAACACCACTAATTTTTTACTCATTGATTTTTGATATGCTCGCCACAGTAGTTAAATTTGTGCTTAACAATTGAATGTAACCATCCATCTCCTAGGAGGTAAGAAGTATGCGGCATTCTAACTCTCCTCATGTCTTGTAATGCTTATGATCTTAGATTTAAAGATGCTTTTCCAGAGACTTTGTATAGTTTTCCCCACTGGTCAAAATGTTATGCAAATTTTCACTAGGATGCATAGGCAGATAGGTACATTCATGTGGATTCCACAAAAGCACCTTGCATTTTAAGGAACTGACTCTTCCTTCCCGTACCAAGCTCCCTTTCTCAGCCATCTGAGATTTGTGCCACTAGTAGAAGTCCCTGTAAAGACGCTGCTGAGAAAACACTTAGGTGAACTAATCCTAAGGTTTTAGCTCCCAGTAAGTCACTTGCAAATCAAAGAATCAATCATAGGGCTGCAGGGTGAACCTGCAGTGTGTGGGAAGGGCACAGAAAGGCTCAGTGCTTGCATGTATCATGTGTGTGGGAAGGGCAGAGAAAGGTTCAGTGCTTGCATGTGTCATGTGTGTGGGAAGGGCACAGAAAGGCTCAGTGCTTGCATGTGTCATGTGTGTGTGAAGGCCACAGAAAGGTTCAGTGCTTGCATGTGTCATCAGACACCACTCTCATTTGCTGCCTTTTCCCCATGGCTGTCCTGAGCCTCTCAGGTCTTGCACCCAAACTTCCACCCATTCCCTATCTGTTCATTTCTAGTCAATGCAACAGAAGACTGCAGGCTCCATGACACAGTGTGGTCACTATGTGGGAGGAAGCTGAGTCTTTCTTGTTTAGCCCCAGGATTCTTTGAGTAACACACACTCTGCTGATGCCCCAAGTCAGTGATCCCTGACAACATCTGCTATAACAGTTAAACTTTTCTCACTGAAAATAGGTTCAAACAAGAGTGTCTGTGTTGCAAAGTGAACACCTCTGTGCATGCATGGTAGGACTGATGGGGAGCATAGTTTGAGTTCACCACTAACTAGCTTGTAAAACTGAATAAGCAAATAAGTCTGTGATCATATTTCATATAAAATAAAGAAACTGGATATGCTATTTTAGTCTTATGTGGCTATATTAAAAAATGACAAGAGAGAGAAAGGGGGAGAGAGAGAGAGAGAGAGAGAGAGAGAGAGAGAGAGAGAGAGAGAGAGAGAGAGAGAGAGAGAGATTATTTATAATAAATTATTTTCAAAAGTTTCTAGGTGTTGCTAATTGGCTAAGATCCTATTTTAAGCTCTCCACAAAAGAATTTAAGTCTCTGTTCAATATTCTCAAGAGAGATGTAAAGCCTAATTTTCCTCAACAGTTAATTGACAAAAGAGAGGTAATCTCACAAAAAGTAGAAGAAGCTATTACTAATTGATATGTTATATAGCCTGATTAGTTGTTGGCAGTGATATAACAGTCCTTTGACAAAAGATTATGAATATAGATTTATATATCTTTTAAATAGGGTCTTCATGACTCTCTGAGTGTGGAAAGAGCGACTGTTGGTGCTTCTGCCCTCATTTTACAAGAACTCTGAAAAATTGGCTTTAAAAACAAAAGAGAGGGAACGGTACATCCCAGAAGGAGTCCCCCTGAAATACTCTCCATCATGCCCTGTTCACTTTTAACTCTCTAAAGCTGAAAGCTCATGGCAAATATGCTGCTGTCTGCCTCTGGCACCACCGAGACCAACAAAAACTTTGCCACAGATATGGGGAAGAACCCTCTTACCCTTAAAGGGAATGGCCCAGACCCAGTTCCCTTACGGGGCCGAGGATTGATATGCCTGTTTGATACCACAGAAGGCACAGCTAACCGGCTACCAAAAAAAATGAATGAAATAAATAGATACCCCCACAAAGCCCAACCATAAATAAAATGAATAACAATTTGTATCCAGGGAAGAGAAATCTCCCTGAGAATTCCCTTCTTTTTCCTTTCCAGGTAAAAATGAATCACCCGTGATGTCTGCTGTTAGAAGTTCTAATCCAGATGCTGGCCTCCGAAATTATACTACTCAGACCTTTGAAGGGCCACTGACAAGAACATCAAACAGCTAGAGATTGACATCACCAATCTGAAGAAATTTCTCGTTTCACTGTCTGAATAGACCTCCTAAAATCACAAAGATCTTTATTGGACTTGATTTATTCTATCACAATAGAAAAGGCTGTGTACAGCTCTTGATTGTGTACAGCCCTTAACGAAGAATGTTGCCCTTACATAGACAAGACAAGGAGGGTTAAAGAGAGTATGAAATAGGTCAGTGAAAGCCCTGAAAAAAATCAGAGAGAGAAAGAGACAGATGCATGCTGGTACAAGAATTGGTTTTCAGCCTCTCCAAGGTTGTCAACCCTATTTCTTCCCATCTTGGGACCATTATTTGGTTTCTTTTTGCTTATATTTGCTGGTCCCTGGGCCTCAAATAGGCGGACTAACTCTGTGATACAACAGATAAATAATTTGGTAGCAAAATCTTTTCAGATACATTATCATAAGTTAGCTATGGAGGACCACGAGACTCAAGATGAGGTTGTTACTTTATACAGGGTGTTTCCAAAACCCATCTCCACCCAACCTAAAAGGGGGGACTTCTGCCGCTAGACCAAGCAGAGAGGGGCCACCCAGAACCCCCTCTGACTGGCAATCTGAATTCTTGCTTAGGCTGTGAGGCTAAGCACTGCAAGGGAATATAAATAAAAGAAAAATATCTCTCTGGGTTCCATGAGGGACAAGCCTGACTGCATAGGGGTTGATGTCAAAAGTATCCCCTCTCCAGGAAAAAGACATTGGGACGGGTATGGCCCTCATGCCTCACTGGACAATGATGGGGGACCGGAGCCATTACAAGGTCCCCTTCAATTACTGGAGGTCAGGCCTCTATCCCCGCCTTCACAAGATTAGAATTGCCACAGCCCTTCTATACTTAGAGAAGGGAGGAGATGTCAGGGGCATCCCTGATTACACACTGAAGGTCTAAAATCAGCCATAGGCCTAAAATCAGCAATAGGCCTGTCATACATGTATACTAACACCAAGTCTTGGGTCTCAGTGGAAAAACATTGAAACAGATGGCTATAAGCTAATGTAAACAGGCAGCTTTTGTGGAAATTTACAAGCCTGAGTAGTCATAGACCTTGTAAATAGGTAGCCTTGGCAGACAGTACTAATTTAGATAAGGTCAAGCGAGTCATAGGCAGAGTCACAGTGACTTGTCCCCTGAACCTTCACCCAGCCGATACCCAGTTCTGAAGATATCTGTATTCCCCCTGAACACCCACACTCCAGTGTCATCCCCTTCCCCACATCCTGCCTTTCTGTATTTATAACCCCTGTGTGAATGAATTACAATTTGAGAAAAAATAAATTATATAAAAAAAAAGACAAATCACTGTCTTAAGGTCAGTGGCAATATATTGGAAATTCCTCCTCCGCAGTTACAATCTAAATTGTATACCTGGTATGTGACCATATGGTGATATTTTGACCTTGTAAATTCAAATGTAAAGCGCCAAGTGTCTTACACATGGGTACTCACTTGTGTTAAGAAGAAGTAAGACTTTCATACAGAGGAACTCCTCATGGGTCACCTGGAGCTTGACAAACTCCTGTGGGATTTGCCACATGGTAAGGCACAGCGAGTAGAACGACAGCTCCTTCATCCTCTGCCTTGTGCCACACAGCACACAAGAGAAAAACCAGCATAAGCATGAAAACCCATCGCCCATCAGCCAGGCAGTGATATAACTTGTCAGTGAACTTGAGTTCAGGCTCTGTCTTTACTGTCGCTGAATTTACTGAAATATTTAATAAGCTTAATTTTGGGAATTTTTAATGTCTCTGAACTTTTCTACATGGTTGCACTACATTTTTAAGGCAAAGAAAATTTAGACTTAAAAATAATATTATATACACATTGATCAAAGTTCATATTGTTTCTTGCTTTTACTATAATACTTTAAATACCTAAATCTACTGAGAGCAGTGTTGAAGGAATTAAAGCATTTGGAACCAGGAACTGCTTTATTGACTGACTAGTATCTGTATTGGTATGTGTACATATAATTTTGTGTACAGGTTAAAGGATTGCTTCAGATCATAAAAATTTACAATGTTGTGACTTTTTTCTAGGGGATGTGTCTGATGACACAGAAAAACAAATAAAAGAATGCTAGTAAATATAATTGAAAAGGTTAGTGCAGACTTTGTAGATGGCTCCCTTATTTGAGGGATTCTCTCAACATGTGCTATTTTGTAAGGCCAGCATTAGTCACTGTAGCTAGTAAGAACAGTGGGATGAAGACAAGATACCCACATTGAAAGATTAAGATTAATCCTGGCTCCTCAGGTCTGTGCCTATCCAGTTCTCCCGACCAGTTTCTTGAACTGTTAAGGTGGATGATGCCTATGTCAAGGGATTATCAGTTAAAAAGGACTGAATGAAGCATGAAGATTGTCAACTGTGAAGACATTGGACAGTGTCAGTTATTAACTTAGATGCATATGACTTGACATTCACCATTAGACCAGTGTAGACACTACCTTGAACAAACTCTTGTCATTAAAAACTACATGCTGAAAACTATTTATTTAGATATGATAAATCAAATTGGAATAGTCATAGAAGATTTTTGTTTAATTTTTAAAAGTCTACTGTCAAGCAAAAATATTTGATTTCATTATCTCAAGTTCATTATCACAAGTACAAGTCTGAAAATTTAATTTAATATGATAAGCATTTAATATGATAACAAGATATATTTAATTGTGCATATCAGATTTTAAAAAATAAATAAAAATTTTAGTTTGAAATAAACAATTTTTCAAGATAAGAGGAATGGGCTCCAAATATTAAATAAGCAATCCAAAGGATTTAACTAAAAATTTTAAGCAAATAAACATAGACAGAAAAGTTTCTGAAAAGGTCTCCAAATTCTCAGGAAGTAATAAAGAGAGTTGGCCAACAGGATTACTTGAAATTAACTTGAACAGCAAAAGAAAAACTAAATTGACTGAAGAATAAGCCTAAAAATAGGCAAAAATACTTGCTAACTAAGCATTTGACAGAGAATTAGTATCTAGAATATGTAAGGATCATAAACTAAAATAATCAAGAAATGAAAGAACTTGATAAATGGGTTAATGAACTTATTATTGCGAAATGAACAAACAGTTCCTAAATGATGGAGTACAAATACACAAAATATTCACTCTGCTGAGTCACCCAGGAAAAGTTAACTACAGCTACACTGAGAGTCCCTCTTACCACAGTCAGAGCAGCAGTTAGAAAACATCGTGCTGATGAGGCTGTGGGCAGAAGGAGTCCTTTTACACTGCTGCTGAGGATGTAAACCAGTCCAGCCACCATGGAAATCAGTCTAGAGGCTTTCCAAAACACTACATTAGATCTACCTATCACCCACTCCTGAGTATTCACCCAAAGGCCTCCAAGTCAACACATTGTAGAGACCCTTACATCAGTGGCTATTGCCATATGATTCACAATTACAATGCAGTTTTCCAAATCATACTATGGCTGTACCTGTGATAACAACGACAGCACCAAAAGTCACAACTTACTCATTTAGGATTAGATCAGGTGCAAAATATAGCATCTGCCCACTGACATGCTTGTAGGACCTCCATCCCAGGCCAAACACCATCAGGCTCATCCAGGAGTATTGAATCAGGGTTATCTGGTCATCGATGTGTAAGTTCCGGAAACCTACAAATATATTGAAAGAAAACAATCACAGAAATCATGGCAACCATGTTAAAAATTTGTAGGAAGTTGAAACTAGATACTAATATGTTTCCCTAAAATTCAGAAAATGCTCATAATAACACAGCCTATAAAGAGACAAATGGATAGCCATTTTATGAGTCATGAACATCGTCACTGTAATTTAGGGCTGGTGAGAATGATTAATTGAATTAACTATCTGTTCTGGATTCATGTAACACCTATTCCCATGCCAGGTATGATGTTAACATGATTGAAATCAATGCTAGAATTGGCATGTGGGTAAGAACATGTGCTATTAGTCTTTCGGTGTCTTCTTGACACGATATTCTCTCACCATAAACCACAGTTTTTGTGGTGCCTATACAAGACCTGTACAAGAGCAAGCTCATAGACATTTCAGCAGGGAAAGGGAGGGACTTAGAAGTCCTGCCACTAGCTGAGGACTTATAGACAATTGATGGCTTCTGGGAGAGGGAGAGTCGGTTTCATTAAGTATGTGGCCCCTGATAGGTCAACCATACTCCAATGGTTGCTCTCATAACAATGAGTATATGAGCAGCACAAACTTGACCAAGAGTGTTATTAATGAAAAAGAAAAAGAGAACTCAGTGTTGGAAAGGGCATGGAAAGATGGAGTGGATGTGGGAGAGTTAGACAGAAAAGTAAGATTGAATTTGCATGATCCAAACCCTTAAAGAGGAAAAAATAAGACACTTGACTTTCCTATGGAGGCAAGAAGAATTTAAGCACTTCTTTCAGTCGCTTTCCCCAAATCTGAAAGAAGGACAAGGAAATAAGCTGGGGTAAAAGTAGAACATTTTGGATATATTTGAGAGAACTCAAGAATATTGCTTGCAGCTGGGTCTATGGACTTGAACCTGGGGATATATCAAGGAAAGAACATGAATGTGGATGTCGTTGTAACTTACAACACTTGAATTATGAAACTGTGTTTAATATTCTTTTAAGATTAAGTAAAAAAATGTTTTAATGTGAGCATCAAACCCTTTCCATGAAGCTCTTTGGAAAATCCCTATTTTTCTTAAAAGTCCACCGATACCCATTTATAAATGACCTAATTCAGAAATAAAGCCAGAGTAACACTTAATCCATTAGCTATTGAGAGAGAAGTCACTTCTTTCTGTTAGACATTGAAGTTCTCTGCACATGTTCCTGATGGTCCCACCATCAGCTGGGGAAGTGCATTTGTCTTTGTGTTCCTTAGCCTCCTTGGAAATGAAAACTCACGTGTGCCTCCCTAATTAATGGTAGCCCAGCAACCTCCTGACTTTTGAGGCACACAATTTAATGTCTAACCACCCTTTCTCATTATTACTTCCTGTTTCTTCCTGACTGATGAATCCCTGTTTGGAGTTTGGTAGAACAGTAAATGCTGTTACCAGGGGGAAATGTATATAATCCCTGCTGCCCTCTGCATGGTGCCTGGGGATGGTCTGTGAAGCACTCATTACCAAGACTCTGACTCTGAATCAGCAAAGACAAGGTGTGGTTATTTACTGTGAGAGAGGTAGAGGGTACCAAGTCATCCAACAGATACATCTGTGACACTCATTCATTGTCCCGCCCACCACATGTCTCAGTTTATACTGGATTTCAAACCTGTCCTTCAATCTAGCTAAGTGAATTCCTGGTGCCCTCCAGAGGTTGTTTTCTCTCATTTCTGTTTTGAGAGCCCAGGGTTTTCTTTTTCATGATTAGAATGTTTTTTTTTTCCTTTGTTTTGATACTGTCAGCATCCACAAGTCTAATTTACTTTGTTGCAGAAAGACTCCAGCCTCTCTAGGAAAAAAAATGTTGCTTGCAATTTTTAGTTGTTTTTTTTTTTTCGTATGACTTGACTCCAAGTGCATGTCCACATGGTATGTCATCTTAGAAAAAGTGTGAATCTTAACACAATTTATCTAGCGCATAAGTATTGCCTGTCAGTGAATATTGAGAAAAATGGTTAATTCTTTTATAAAATTCAGAATCAATTGATAAACAAATCAATTCTTTTTAAAATGTGACAATTGATTACCCAATGAAGGCATATGAAGAACTGTGTGTTAATGTGACCTCAAGGGTTGTGCAGAAAGGCCTCAGTTCCACTCCTGATTCTAGCAATTGAATACTGCCTTGAACAAGTTAGGCCATGAGAATAAACATAACTAAATAAAACTGAATTAAAGATTCAGGAAAACTATACATTTTGTTGAGAAATATGCAAATATTTATTATCCCAACCATGGATCCTGTAGCAGAATACTAATTGGATTAATGGCTATAGGGAAATCACTAATCAATCTGAGAAAAATCTCCAATTTAAAACAAGTGAACCACACTGTAGTAATGTATTCTTATAATCTCAGCACTGAGGAGCTGGAGGCAGGAAGATAAATAGTTCAAGTTTATCCTTGACTACAGAGTAAGTTCTAGACCAGTCCTAGCTATTTCAGAACCTGTGTCGAAATAACAATATAAAAAAATAAAAAGGAAGAAAAAAATGCCCCCAAACAAAGTGAGATCAAAATTATAAGCTAGAAAGCATTATCCTTTATGTTACAGGAAACAAAAATATAATTAAAATATAAATGCTATGAATGACAATAAATTCTGAAGGCAAATTAGGCACCACTGGCTTGGGAAAACAACTCAGCCAGCAAAGTGATTCTCACATAAGCAAGGGAAGTGAGTTTTTCATTCCTAGCACTCACAGAAAAGGCAGGTGTATTGTATTGCATAATCCCAGAGGTAAGCGCAAGAAGAAACAAGTGAATTTTCAGAGCTCTATGCCAGCCAATCTAGACAAATCCATGAGCCCCAGGCTCAGTGGGAAACCCCACCCTTAAAAGTAAGGTGGAGAACAGCTGGGAAGACAGTGGCAACCTCTGACCTCCACACATGAACACATACCTTTCTATGTGCACATGGATTATTATTATGAATAGATTCTTACAAATTACACATATATGTACAAGTAAACATTAGTAATAAAATGTATATTTAATATATTTTCAGAATAGTCATGTCATATGCATTATTGTATTTATTAGTTGGTATAATATGCATATATGAATTTCATCATCTATAAAGTGACAGATTGGTAGAAAATGAGATTCAATTAATTAGCTATATTAAAGTATTAATGGAATGTTCATTATGATCTCTAGCAATTCACACATTATTCTGTATATTTGGTTCTAACTACTAACATTTCTAATATATTTTAAAATATCTAAATACTTGACATAGCTATGTTTGATTTTTTTATTTTATGTCATTGTTTTATATTAATCTATGACTAGTTTTTAATTTTTTTACAACGTTATACATACATGATTCTGTTTTCTGAAAATCAGACTCTGTTTATATTCACTTTATCCTTGTGTTATCTTGTGTTTCTTGTACTCCTGGATTCTAGGCTTGTCAGTGTCTTGAAATAAAGGAACACTTTTACTTTTTGTGGAATAAAAGGCAACTTTATTGAAATATTTCAAAACTTACTCAGTTACTAACATTCATAGCAGAACATATGTTTGTATCTAACAGAGTAGAACTCAGAAAATAACCTCCTTCCTCCACCTTTTGGAGGTGTAGCTGTGGAAAAAGTCCAATGTTAAATTGACTTGAACATGACTGGCTCACATGTTAAGTTTCTCCCCAGTGACTGTGACACCATTCCATCATTTTATACTGAAACAAAGCTAGGAACATGGAGGTCAGATTCCTGTGGTGATGATGATCAGAGATATTTCATGCATTTGAGATGATAATCTAACTGGAAAACCTACTCTTCAGGAAGTGATGGATGATCGCTAATTGTGCTTAACAAGTAGTGTAAGAAATGTACTTTTCTGTAAGTGTCTTGGTCTAACAATTCTTCAAAAATAGCTGTGAATTGTCCAATTCTCAATACTTAAAAAAAATAATGAATAGGACAAAAGTTGACTCTAGAGACTTGCTGTGCGTCCAAGGTTCTGATAAAAAAAAATGTGTAAGTTCTACCTCTGTTTTTACAAAGTGTCATGTAGTTGGAATGGTGAACCTCAACCTAGATGGAGAATTACACATCTCAGGATCGTGTGGTACAAGACACCAATGGCAATATGTGTGTAAATTTTCAGATCAAAGGGAGACATAGGCAATGCATTACCAACATATTCAATGGCTTAGTCTGATCAAGAATGTCAGAGTTCCTCTAAGATAACATAACTCTTTGTTTTAAATACCACACTTTAGATTTCTATACCTTTTTATTTGTCTTTTCTGAGACAAAATCTTACTTGTGTCAGGAGCTGGTCTTGAACCTAAGGCCCTCTCTTGCCTCTACCTCTTCTCAAGGGTTGGGATTCAGTCTGGGAAGATTCAGGGCAGATTAGATTAGTGTGAATGATGGAGGCTAGTTAGGAGCCAGACAGGAGAACATGCATGCGAAGATCCTCTACATACAGAAAACAACACCAAAATGGGAAGAGAAAGATGGGAAATGGAGCAAAGAACCTTTCAGCAAATTCTCCTTAGATTCCATGGATTGAAGGGAGGGGAAGAGGAGTACTGTCACCTCAGGAACTGGGTTACAGAATGGCTTTGAGCTGTAAGGCCACAGAGTTTAAACTATAATCCAAAATGGAAAAAGAAAAATATGACCCGTTACAATTATTTTAGAGATAATTCATAGGTTAGAATCTTAGGTTGGATTGTTTGAGAGCTGAAACCTAGGTAAATAAGGAAAGGGTGGTGACCAAACTGAGCTGGATCAGCAGGTATGGAAGTAGCACTGTAGTAAGATCAGTAGCCATGAAGTAGCATTGTAGTAAGCCGTGTATTGAACATGAGGCATTGAAAGAACTGACAACTTACCAGGCAGGAAGTGAAGGAGGAGAGAGCCTAAGGTGGTTCTAAAGAGGCTGGCTGAGGACTTGTTTCAGGATACAGAAAAATGGTTTTGAGATATGAGCAATAAGGTCATGTTGACTTAAGAGGTCATCTGGGTGGAGCTGTGTTAAGAGCATTTGGAGTATATTATTGAAGGAGCTGGACTGATGCCATTATTTAAGTGTCATTGGAGTGGAGGGAGAACATCAGTGCTATACATCTGCTCATTCAAAGTGTGTAGCACATGAGGCCAATCAGTGGAAGAGAGGACAGAACTCAAGACAGTAAAATTTATGGCGTAAGGGGAATAAAAATATACAGTGACTAAAACTTTGTGGAAGAAACCATGTACCTGAAAGGAACAAATGGACATCAAAGGGTGAGTTTCTCCAGGAAGTGGTTACTCTGCCAATAGCCTCATAGGCACTGAAGTGTGTCATAGCTGAGAACATACATGCAACCTGACAATGTGAAGATGTCAACATTGGCGATGGTAATTTCAGTGGAATACAGTTAGGGAGCGGATTTTGAGAGTTGTCATAGAAGCTCTGGTCAGGTCTAACTTTACTCCCAGCAGGCCACATTCACTCCTCTCCTCATGCATCAAAGGTGATAATTTGCCTTATTCTTTGCATTTGGAAAGAAAGAAAAAATTCCCTTTTCACACTGCCACCAACTCACACTGCAGAGCCAGAAAATGAAGGAAAGGTTGTCCCTCTCTTCAGGTCCTCATCATGGCAAGAGGTGTGAGTAATTGAAAGCAAGATGAGATGCACTCAAATGGGCAACAGTTGGAATGTCATAGCATGACCTGGGGTGAATATTTCACCAAGTAAGGGGAAAGGGCAAGACAGATTCATCACAAGAAAATGTTTGTTCTACACTTCTCTATTGTTTTAACTCTTGTACAATTCACTGGGAGAGAAGGTGACCTTGCATTCTGAATGAGTAATGATTAATTTTTGTCTTACTATGACTTTCAAGATCCTAATTGATCAGTCTATGATTTTCATCTGTGCCATTACTTTCTACTAGTAGTCCCCAAATAAACTCCTTGCCATTTGTTTCTGAGTAAATTGGTGGTAAAATCCTCAGGAGATCAACACTTACTGTAACAGTATCAAAGAGTTCATCTACACAGATACATTTTCTCAGTGACTACTAAAACCTCTTATTGTATTTTTGGGGTAACTGAATAATTCAGCTTCTGATATTATTTAAGCATCCCAGAATTTGAAAGAAGGAGAGCCACTGACTGTCTCCTGTTTTTTTTCATTTATCACTAACCAAATTTCACTCACAGTTTTTATTTCCTATACCCTCAGGCTCACCAATTCTTCTAACAAATGTGCTTTCTTTTTACAAAGTTAATGAGTCTTCATGTCCATTCCTTTAGAATCCAATGCTAAAGCTATTCATCTGTTCCTGTTTTCTTAACTTCTGTGTCTGATGCTATTATCGGGTGTCTCAGCTTTCTCTGGGTTGAAAGTTCTTTAACAGAGGAAATGTATACTGGTAAGTTTTAAAATTTAGTAAGTAAGGCCTTACAGGAATTCAGTACTCACTCTAGACAATAAAAACATACCATACAAAGTCATTCATACACAGATGCTAAATGTCAAATGGAGAGTATGAGATGGTCTATAAATATAATACCTTCAGGCTATGGCATCTTACATGTTCCCATTAAATTAAAAAGAATCTCTGAAATATTATTGGAGAGAAGTAAAATTAGTTGTAATTATGGCAACAGGTCAATGACAATGAGAATGAAGACAAAGAAGAAAAGAGGATTTCCTGCCTGGGAAGTAAAGGACCCCAGATCCTTGCAGTATAATGCTGCGAGCCTTCACTGATTGACTTGCTTCTGAATTTGTACTTTTCATCAGACTTCAATGTACACTTTACTGTCTCAAATGAATGAGCTGGTTTGTCAGCAGGTTTTCCAGCAGCATATATACATGGATAAATACAGCTACATTTTCACTGTTAATAAGCAATTTCACAATCTGGCTTATTGTTAAGGCTCTTTTAACAAAAATCCATTTTCCACATAATTAATAGTATCACTGCAAATGAGTAACTGAATCAAATACATTTCTCTTCTGTGCAAAACCGGTGCCCAGATGCAAAGGTATATAGCACCTCGTGCATTCACGCTGTGAGTCCGCCTTCTGGCTTTTTGTCCTAGCAGCACTATTTAACTGCTAAGCTCTGCACTCAGCAGGCATGTGGTGGGCATTCATTTAGTCACTAAATAAGGGCCATAACTTTGTGTAAAGGCAGCTGATATTAGTTCAGAGAATCTAATAACAGTGGATCAACATCATGGCTACTCTTACTAACTAGCCTGGATTTCAAACCAGCTTGGGACTAAAACCCTGCCCCTGCCTGTGAGGACATTTCCACAGTGTTAACTGGAGATTAATAACAGTGTCACCATTCATGCCTGAGATTTCCAACTGTACACAAAGGTAAAAGTTCACTGCACATCAGCATTGGTTTCTTTCTCCCTCTTGCCTGAGGCCACAATGTGACCAGTTGTCCTTTGCTCCTACTGCTATGCCTTCCCCTTTGTGATGGACAGTACCGTCTTATAAGCCAAAACAATCCTCTGCTTCCTTAAGTTACTTCTGTTAGCAGATCACAGCAATAAGAAAGGCAACAAGAACAATATGAAATTTATGTCCCTTTCAGCTCTTCTAGGAAGAACTTTGATCAAGGTTCCTTGAGCATCTCTGTACCAATTTATAGTGTCCCTTTTAAAGTCACTATTTGTAAATATGACTTAAAGAGAGCACAATCTGCACAAACATTTTATCATCTCAATTTTGCTCTTGAATATCACTAATAGAAAAGTAAAGAATCATAAAATGTAACCATTGTCTTGATTTGCCACATATAAATCATATTCTACAACACTTCAAAAGCTGCTACCAAATTCAGTACATAAATTTCTTCAAGGATGTGTGGAGGTCAAAATATCTTGATCTATAAACATTTAAACTTAAAAACAGCTTTGATCTTAAATGAATAAATGTTCTTTTTAACTGCTTTCTTTTTTAAATTTATTAGCTGACAGTAAAATCTTCTTAAACAATAGTCTCCAAAAATACAAGGGAGAGGAATAATGACCCATAGCAGTGGCAGCCAAGGAAATCACCATTTCCAAATAATGGAACCAGAAACTCAACAGCACAGCTAAACATTCATTTTAAAAACAGAATTAGTTTATCAGTGCTCTTATGACATTTACTTAGTAAAGATCTATCAAATTTGATAGCCAAGTCACAGTAAGTTTTAAATATTCAAAACTTTTTTTTTTTGAAGAAAAATGTTACCTGTCCAAGGCCCATCAGCTACAGCAAAGCAAATGAAAAGCTGGGCACTCTGACTCATCTGTAGGATTACTTCATCTCCATTAGAACAGCAAGTTTTATTAACTTTTCTCAATACATATCCGTTTGAAGGTCTAACAAACAAGAGTCTGTTTTCTGTTTCATATAACCTTGGATGTTCGATAACAATTCATCTATTACATCTCAAACCTTTCAGGTAGAATAATAGCCAAGAAATGTATTCAGGCAAATTGGGAAGGGATTCTTTAAAAAAAATTAATTGAATTTCTTCTAGGACAAAAGGGACATAATGTGTTTAATTTTTGACTGTATATCAAAAAAGTGAACATTTCAAGGATGTGATTGGTGTGAGGAACACGTGATTTTTGAAGGAATCATTCTGCTTCTAATTGTGAGGTTAAGGCCCACACAAACAACTGCTAGTCTTCACCTGTCTCTGCATCTATGATTCAACCAAGTGAGAAATGCATCCATTTAATGTGACCAGCCACGTGGCTGCTGAAGAGCCGCACTGAGGGACACATCTTGCCAGAAAGTCAGTGAAGTACTTCCATAAAAACACAGCTTCTTGGTATTTCTGGCCATATCCTTCTCTTGGTATGATGAGAAGGACCAGATATTGAGGTCTGTCTGTCTTTCCAGACTCCTTATTAACCTCAGGAGTTCAATATTCTTCACTGACATTATATAGGTACTTTGAATGTTGTTTTGATTTGTTAGATGAGTAGGCACATTTGATTTTATCTCCAACAGACTCAAAGCTTCAGTTGGGTTTTAGAATGAACTAGACAGTCTAAGAAAATGGCTAACATGCCTTTTTCTTAATTACTATATTTGTGATTTAACACATACACTTAGCTGTTCTTAACTGTTTGTGTAGGTAGCAATCAGCCAGCCTTAATGTGATCTCTATTTCTCTGGGTTCCCATAGTCTGTATGAGTCTTGCCTGTGTGCAGGTGTTGCTGGGGATTGATCCATGGGCTTATGCATGCTAACCTAGGGCTCTACCAACTAAACCAAGCACACATGGGAGATGTACCTAGCATTTTGAACCACTAAAACAAATGGTGCTCTTTACATGGTGGTTGACTTTTCATACAGACTCTTTTCACATTCATATAGTGCCACAAACATAGTACCTTTTAATGCATGATACCATGTACAAATTACCTGGCAGAGACTTAGACCATTTGACTACTGAAAGCAGCTGCCTCTCGCCTAGTTGGTTGAGACTGGTCAGCAAAGAGCTGGAAGTGTCAGGCTTTGTGTTGTCATGCCCTGCATAGACCACATCAGGCTCAATACTCATGAGCAGGTTGATGAGTGGTGGAACCAGTTGAATTTCTTGATTTGGTGAAAAGGTGATTCTCTGGCCCAGGGTCTGGCTCTCATTAGGAAGGCCCACCGACTGGGGGAGAGCAACACCATCGAGGGCTCTCATAACTCGGACTTTATTGAACTTCTTAAATTTACGACCTATAGAGAAAACAAAGAGGAAAGAACTTTGTGTAAACACATAGGAATTCATTATCCTAGCAGTATATATTTTAAGCCTTATCACTGGGCTGCATAGACCTCATCGTCAATCTGGAAGTGAAACAAAGCCAGACAAGTATGACGGTGCAGACCTGTGATCCCAGTGCTTGAGAAATGGAGGCAGAAGGAACAGGAGGACTTCTAGGCATCCTTAATGAATGATGTGGTAAGTTTAAAGGCAGCTTGACTACATAAGACTTTGTATCAAAGAGGGGAGAGAGAGAGAGAGAGAGAGAGAGAGAGAGAGAGAGAGAGAGAGAGAATATGTAAATGATAGGCATCAGATTTGGGTTAAATAATAACAGTACTGTCTGGGTTGGCAGGCTGTTTGTAGTCACATCAAGACCAAGCAGAGGTTATAAAGCTTGGAGTAAAAAGATGGATGCCAAGGTGAGTAGTGTTTAGAAGACACCAGCATCAGGATTGCTCAGTTGTGTAACAGGATTGCCTTCCAAAGCTGGAAGTCCAGGCTACATTCAGGCAAACAGGGTTCATCATCATTGTGGGTCTTCTTTTGGGTTTTATTCTTTATGGATCTATTATAATTCACGTACATTATGTAAACCTCACAACATCTTTCATACAATTTAAGGAGATTCATGTTTCTTGAAATAAATCCATGTGCTGCTACAAGATCTAAATAACTAAAACTAAGGGTATCTTTCCTAAATTAAGGGAAGACAGTTTTTACCCGTGATTTGTGCTTTCAGAATATATGTATTTCTTGTCAACTTACAGAATTCCTATTTTGGCGAGTGATTGTATATTCAGAAGGAAAAGCATGAGAGCAAACCTCAGAAGGAGTTAGCTTTTGAGAACGGATTGGCTATTGGCAGCCAAACCATCCTAAACACATCTGTACTCATGTGATCTCAGAAGCTAAGCAGGTTGGTCCTGAATAGTACTTGGGTGGAAGAACAGATTGATGGGCACTTGCATGCTTATGAAGACTGCTGCTTTGCAACATGTTGGGAGTGGATAAGAGAAAGACTTTGTGACTGAGGATGGGCTGGATTTCAGCTCAAGTCACCCTGAATCAGGCATACCTTCTCTCTCTTTTTTCTTTTTTTTCCATTTTATTTATCGTCCCATTCATTTATATCTCAAATAATATCCCACTTCCTAGTTATCCCTCCACAAATCCCCCACCCCACATTTGCTCTTTCCTCCCTCCCCTTTGCCTCTATGAGGGTGCTCCCTCACCCTCCCACCCTTCCAGCCCCACTGCTCCAGCGTCCCCCTATGCTGGGGCATCAAATGCCCACAGGACAAAGGGCCTCCCCTCCCATTGATGTCAGAGAAGGCCATCCTCTACTACCTATGTATCTGGAGCCATGGATCCCTCCCTGTACACTACTTGGTTGGTGGTCTAGTACCTGGAAGCACTGGGTGGTCTGGCCAGCCGTAGTTGTTCTTGCTAAGGGGTTGCCCTCAGCTCCTCCAGTCCTGCCAGCTACTCCATCATGGTCCCTGAGTTCAGTCTGATGGTTGGCTCCAACCATCAGGCATACCTTTTCAATGTGAAGGGCCTGTGCCATGGTTCTGAGAGAGGCCTGGTGACTTTAATGGTCCAGGCATGCCTACCTGTGGCCAATATGCTACATGTGTTTGGGATACCAATCATTGCATCCAAACACATCTCTCGATGTCAGGTTGTTGCACAGCAATTCCCTCTAAGTGGAAACATTTCTCCACGGAAAAGGCTCATGACACTGAGGAGGTAAAAACATTATTAAGTTTGGGAGAACTGAAACTTAAAGATTTAAGTTTTAGAACTCCCAGGGGAGGAAGTTCTTCCTAGCAACCTTGCGGAGCGACTCTTCAACCTGTTGAGCTGCTTGTAAGCCATGCAGAGTATTTTAGGGTTCCATCTTTCCTGATATGTCACCATGCTAGGGTGGCCTTTGGTGATGTAACTATTTCTGGATTGTCAATGGTTCTATAAATGATCCCAATAAACTCACTGGTTCATCAAACTGGACTTTGAAAGCATCATCATATTTGTCTGTCATTAGTTCCTTTCTGGGACAAACAGGCATTTGTTCATGTCTCCCTGGGAATAATGTCACACAACACAGGTCTGCAAAAGGTTGGGTGCTCTTGGAACAGAGGTGGCAGTATCCTGGCTCTTGTACCTGATGTAACTCAGACATCTGTTTGTTCCTACAGCACTGAGCATAATTAAGAAAACACCCCCATGAATTAGGCATTAGACTGGGGGACATGAGTGGAAGTTACTGCTGTAGGTGGCAAGATATGGATGCCTTAGTTCCTACTATACACTGGTAATAAACAGTGCCAGTGTACTTAGTTCTTGGTTCAGGTGTTGTCATAATGACAAAGGATGAGTGTTCTGCCATGAAACCCCACAAACATCAGCAAAAACTTGTAAGTCATAGAGGGAGAGTTCCCAGAGTCAACAGGAAAAAGATTGAGAATCCCGTGCAGAAGGCAGACAAGTTTCTCGGGAAAGGAATATGTCAGTAAAGAGAAGAAAAGTCAGACTTACAGAGCTCTCACAGTAAATTGGGAAGTTTGCAGATGTGCAATCTAATTCCACTGCTGTCTCAATGTGAAAACTAATGATTGTATTTGTAGGTAGGGGACGATGTAAGGAATGGGGGCTTCACACCTGGTGTTGGAGCAGGAAAGCAGGGCTCAGCTCAGAAGCTCAGGGTATATGATGGTAAAGCCCAGCTCTCTGCTCCTTACCTCTCCCCCTGGGGTGTATTGTGGGCTAAGTCCTCATGGAGTGAGGTTTTTAGGGAAGAATTTACAAGCAAAATTATTGATTCCAATAATTTTTAATGTTTGGTTCCACTTTAACAAGGCAATAGTTAATAGCCAATATTATATACCCTTGCTCAACTCTAACGATAACTCCATGTGGGTTTCCTTCTGAATTCTTATTTCTTTTAGTATATTTTAACTTACAATGATAATTATATGCTTAACATTTTCATCACATGGCTTGAACAGCTGAATTTTTCTTGTGGCTAGTCCTGGTGCTGTTTGTATTTTGATATTAATTCCGCTTCCCCAAGTGGGACTGCCTGGGATGAGGAAGGAGTCATGTACTCGGGTGACTTCATGTGACCCTTCTAATTAGTAAAGATTTCAAGGAAACCAATCACTGGATGGGTAGGCATGACTTCCAGGTCGGACAGGGAGACAGCAGAAGAGGAGAGGAGAGTGAGCTGGAGGACTGGAATATAGAGGCAAAAATGTAGGTAGGGAAGGCTCCCGTTTCAGGTGGCAGATCCATTTGGATCCGCTACCAGAGGATGTACTTAGAATGGCTTATAAATTAGGATGCTAGTTGCTGCTCCCGGTGATTAGTTACTTATTGATTCCCAGGGATTTTGTGATGTTTTCCTTCATGTGGTGACTCAACTGGGTTCCAGGGAGAAAGGTATGATGGCAAAGCGTTGATTTGCAACAAGTACACCCCGAAAGGCCATGGGAATTTAGAAGCTTGGGGCTGGCATGGTAATGACCTACCAGTGGGAACTTAGTGAGGTGGGTGGAGAGATTTCGGGGCTCCAGGTTAGAGAGTCCCCACGAGATGAGAAAGGCTAGTGCATGGACTACATTTCCTACGTTTCCTGCTACAGTTTCAAGTTGACACTTAATATAAAATGTTGGAATTCAAAGCCAACTTTGGCAACTTATTGAACAAATATAAACTCTTTGATGTCTTAGAATACAAATTATAAGGGCATCAGGAATGCAACTCAGTGGGAAGGTTCTTGTTTGGCATGTGTGAAGACCAACAGATGGACAAACAGACTGACTCATACACACAAACACAAACAGAGAGAGAGAGAGAGAGAGAGAGAGAGAGAGAGAGAGAGGCAGGCAGAGAGAGAGAGAGGCAGAGAGAGAGAGAGACAGACAGACAGACAGACAGACAGACAGAGACAGACAGAGACACAGAGAGAGAAAGAGTGAGTAAAATGGACAAGCAGAAGGAAAGCAGGAAATCACCAGAATCTCTTCTATAACTTCATCATGCTCCTTGAATTAGAAAGCTTCAGGTTCAATTAGAGATAACAGATGAATAAATTAAGTGAAAAGAGATTGAGAATGTCACCATGCATCAAGTCTAGGCCTCCACAGACACATAAAAACATGCATACACACAAGCCCACACACATTACACATACATATACACACTCATTTTTTTAAAATCCTCATCAAGATAGAAAAAACCCGAACTACACAACCCATAGAAGAATCATGAATTACAATACTAAACTGACTAAAATATGCAATCAATAGCAATGATATGAGTAACTGGAAAATGAACAGGTTGAAATGACAATGAGATGATGCATTTTTATGTCAGGGTCCATCTACAATTTCCAGTCCAAAAAATGTGCCTACATATATTCAAAGAAAACAAAGGTGTCAATGCAATTATTTGTACAACTGTATAAGAGTTGAGTTAAAAACACTCATGTTCTCTCAATCACTCAATATCACCTGAAAAATAGAAATGTGAACCCATTTATCTCTACTCAATCTGGACCTGGAGAGTAGAGGATTCTGGTAGATACTCCACACAGTTCTAGAAGCAGCTATAAAAGTGCTCCGTATGAACAGAGAAGAATGTTAAGCTAAAAGCTGAGATTGCAGCTCAGCTGTCTCTTGTTCACATGTGTGGGAGACTGTACAGCCTAGACAATGATCAGAACACAGCTTGAGGCTACAGAATTCAGGGTGAGCAAGGGCAGGGGTATGGTGATTTCCTACTGAAACGCTGGCTCAAAGCATGGAAAAGGATTTGTCTGTGAGAGGAAGACAGGGCGAAGTCATCATCCACAGCAACTTGCCTTAAGAAGAGAATTGTGGCTTCAGTTTTGTTTGTTGTTGTTTTGTTACTGTTTTTAAACAAAGGACAGAACAAGCTCCTAAACTTCTGAATATATGTAGGCACA